TTTATGAGCATAAATCAGTCTCTCTCTCTTTTATTTTAACTAAGAAGTGGGATGTATCAGTCTGAAGCCCATAATTTCTTAAAGCACTGCATGCAGACATGCATCAGGGAGGGTTTTGTGTTGCTGTCTCTTTTTAGGTATAAACAGTTCAGCAAATGAAAAAGTGTTCAACCTGAAATGTGACATGCACAGGGCAGAGAGAATAACAAAGGTGTTGGATTCAGATTTTTGTCGTTCTTCTGTTCGATCATCTATTTTTGCTGCACTTGTTGTTTAATCTTTGCCTTTACTGCTACTAGTGTCTTTGTTTGCTAAACCTGCCATTTGGAGCAAGCATTTGGAATAAGCCGAGACATTTGCTCAAGAGACCAGTAATATTAACCCTTCACATTTATGCATGGAAACATTTCTCAGTTGGATTCAATATACATCCTGACTGTGAACAGCAAACCATGGTGGAAGCTTCTAATTATTCAGCTATCTGATTTGAAGATGTGATCTCTTAAGAAGGTGTCAAAGAATGCCTTCATTGCTGTACTGTCAATTTCTCACATAGCATCATAGCATCAAAACATCTCCATTTACTTCCAAAGTTGCCCTCTGGTTCTGTCAGTGTACATTCAATCATTGCCACAATCGTGTTGCAGCTTTGCTTTGAGATGCAAAAACTCCTCTTCTGCCACCAGCATCAGCTAAACTATACCGCCAAAAGGATTTGTTCACTCTTTCAAATGATTCAGTTCAGGTGTTTCAATCACTTCCATAGCCACAGGTGTATATAGTCAAGTCAATTTCGTTACTATTAAACATTCCACAGTTGCATGTTAGTGGTATTACAGTAAAGTGGAACTTATTGGTAACAGCAGCAACTCAGCCGTGAAGTGACAGGCCACATAAAATCACAGAGCAGGATCAGCAGATGCTGAGGTACATAGTGTGCAGAGGTCACCAAATTTCTGCACAGTCAGTCGTTACAGACCTCCAAACTTCATGTGGCCTTCAGATTAACTCAAGAACAGTGCATTGAGAACTTCATGGAATGAGTTTCCATGGCCAATCAGCTGTTTCCAAGCTTTACGTCACCAAGGACAATGCAAAGCATCAGATGCTGTCGTGTAAAGCACCCTGAGACACTGGACTCGAGAGGAGTAGAGACGTGTTCTCTGGAGTGAAAAGTCCCACTTGTCCATCTGGCAATCCGATGAACCAGTCTGAGTTCATAGGTTGCCAGGAGAATGGTGCTCATTTGTCCAAGTTTGAATTTTGGTGAGGGGGACATTATGATGTGGGGGTGCTTTTCAGGAAATGGGTCAGCACCTTAGTTCCAGTTAAAAGAACTCTTAATGCTTCAGCATACCGAGATATTTTGAACTATTTCATGCTCCCAACTTTGTGGGAAAAGTTTGGGGACGGCCCCTTCCTGTTCCAACGTGTTCCAGACATGCATTAAAATTTAACTATACAACTGATTTTAATTTTTTTTAAATTTGCAGATTTTATTCACGTTACTTGCAAAATTTGAAAAACACATTCCCTCTTAATAAAACACACATTTTCACTGTGATGCAGTTGTGATGCATAATGGTGACCACATGTTTTAAAATGGTATATTTGTATATTGGATCATTTGCAACAGGCACCAAATGGTTTTAATGGTTTAAAAATACTCATTATTATTTGAGAATTGTGCCTTTTATGTCCCCTGTTATTGTGTTTTATTGTTATTCTGTATCTGCTTTAGTTTTGAACTATATCACAGTCTTCTTTGAAAATAATATTCTAATGGGATTTTTTTATTATATAAAGGCTACATCTGCTGTTCTGAGGGTGAAATTTCTCAAATCTTTTCCTAAACATTTCAACAATTTTAACCACAGTTATTAAGTTGAACAGTTAATAAGAGTTTTCCAGACTCCTAAAAGCTATGAAACAATAACGTCTGCTGCAAAAAATATCCCACATGTAACCCCAACACCATCATGGTAATTTGGGAAATAGACGTAATTCTGCCTGTTATGCAATCATAATGGACCGTATAGCATCCGTGGCTAGCACGACTTCTCATTTCATGTGTCCTTGTTTACCATTAAAGTTTCCTAGATATCACATGACTTCCTCAGATCACTTCCTGCACCTGCAGCGTTTCCACCCGCTGATTTAAGCCACTTTGGCATGTCTCCCACCTCTGCCCTTGTTCCCAAACTACAGGGGACCTCGCTTTCTGCTCTCCCTCACATCTCCACCTCTCCTTCGCCTCTATCAGATCCTCTTCTCCACCTCTTTTCCTCTGCACTCTAATTATCGAGAGTCTTCTCCCCTATGCTGGCTGTTAGTTTTCCTTTTTTGTTGTTGTTTTTTGAACTTTTATGCTTCTCCTCATCTTTAGCGTCAGACTCTCCCTTTCCAGCTCTCTTTATTTTCTTCTCCCTTCATCCCTCCACTTGCCACAGGAGAGCAGAGGCTCTGGCTTCACTCCCTGCCTCTGCGTGTGAAGTGTGCATGCAGTGTTTCGATCCTGTCAGTTGGGTTAGAGGAGGCACGAGATGATTAGGCACTTCAAAGAATCTCCTGCGCACAGGTGTGAGAGCTATCCTTCACCAGGAGCACACACACACACACACACACACACACACACACACACACACACACACACACACACACACACACACACACACAGGGAATTTACCTGAGCTCTCGGCAGCTCGGGTCCTCGTCAAACAAGCGTCTTCTTTGATGGTCTCTTGGGCACCGCTGGCTTGTGTTTGCACCCCAGGTTAGCACACATACACAGAAAGAAGACAGGTACAGATACACTCCATCTCCTACTAACAACATACAATTGCTCTAATGAAGTCTCACGTCATTATGCAGAGGTACTCAAATGTCCTCACCAGTCATTTAATAATAAACAACTTCTGACGAGCTCCAGTTGGTCTCATGTATTATGTATTTGCAAAAGATGGCATCAAACCTCAAGCATAAAGAGAATAAACACTTTCGGGCACCACAATTGCAGTGATGGCTCTCATTATGCTTTTCCCTCACAAAATAACTTAATTGTGTTTTGGTTATTTATGTGGTGAAGTCTCCTTTTCATGTAATGCAGACCATCTGTATGCATTGTCATAGAAGTTGTTTTTAAGTTTATGAGTCACTAACTTTTATTAAGAGTATCACTCGTGGTGTCATCAGCCAAGCTTATAAAAATATAATCATAAAAGGCCTGTGGGCTACAGTTGCCTCTCTCTGCTTAGATCATCTCTTGTATGCTCCTTTCACAGAGACAAAGTGAAATGACTCGCAACTGTGTAAAATCATGCAAATGTTGCTTGTCATCATTGGGACTCATCAAAATCACATGCAGCATTAAAGAATTGTATTAGCGTGTGTTGTGAGTTTAGTCTGTTGGTGCAGTGATGGCCATGTGCTCTGGGTCACTGGTTTCACAAGCTCCATGCTAAAAGTAATAGCCTTACATACAAACATTATTTATGTCTTACTTCAAATAGGTTTTGGATGACTTTGGGTAGATTGAGATGACATATATATATTATGTAAGAACAAACATTCAAAGGAGTGAGAATTGTGTCCCATTCATGACTGAAAGTTTAATATCAAATGAGATCAAAACTCAAGCAAACCTGAATTTAACTTTTGCTTTGATGCAGTTTGGTGTGTGCACAGTGCAGCAGGTCTCTGTGGGTGGTTTGTTTGATGGTTTGAGCTGATGTTAATAGCTCAATAAATATCAAATGGATTTTAATTTCACTTGTTTGTATTAGCATTCAAAACATGTTATTGTAAGACTTTTCTGATGCAAAAAAAAAATTATGTCTCACACACACGCATCTTGCACTTCATCACAAATCCACCCAGTAATCCATCCCATCCAGTAATACAGCTAGGCCTTCCATTTGCATATGGAACTGATCACAGTTCATCAAATACAGTGCAAATAGCAAATAACACACACCATAAACAGATCCAGCTTTTTTGTAACACAGAAACAAAAAAAGGTACTCCAAGCAGTTTAGACCAAATGCCTCCAGCTGTTTGCCAAATTTGTTTGACATGAGATGGCTCGATCGAGGTCACCTCCTTGATGTGGTTTTAAAGTTTCCAAGAACTGGACTGTGAGTGGGATTTAAACACCAGTGAAAAAAAATTGTGCCTTATGGGTGATGGATAGGCTGATCGATACCTAACATCCTGCAAAAATGGCACCCTTTGGTTTATATTGTGTGTTGATGTAGCAACATAGGAGTTCAAAAATGTCCAGTTGAGTGTTAAAATACACAAATGGGTACAAAAAAGATGTTTGTTTTTTCCTAATACTTACTTATATAGTTATTTGATCACATTTCCAAACGAAGGCATGCGTGAAACCTAGAGTTCAATAAGAGAAGATGAAGATGGAGATTGAGAAGATGTTAAGGGAACTATTTTCTTCTGTTTTTGTGCATTTAAATTATATGCATACAAGTATTCTAATATTTGACATACGCAGCAGTTATTATGAATTCAATCACAGGTCTAAGGTCTCTCGGTTATTCATTCCATCCATCCTCTTCCGCCTATCCCAGATATCGTTTGGATGAGAGACAGTTTACACCCTGGACAGCTCGCCAACCTGACGCAGGACTAACACAGCAAAACAGGCAACCATTCACACCAACGGGCACCACTAACTACATGTCTTTGGAAGGCAGAGCACCCACGCAGACACCATGCAAACTGATCACATGACAGGCCCACCGAGTGGTGGACTCAAACCCAGGGTGTTCTTGCCGGATACCGTCAGTGTGCACCCACGAATGGAAGATTGGTTTTATTTTCATTATCCACTAGAGGGCACTGTGACACTGTAAATCTCCAAACCACCATCACACGACAGCTGTCTCCCTTTCTGCTCTTGTGTTACAGAAAAGATAATTATATGAATAACCACACGCAGGTTTATTGTTAGTTTGTTGTGCCCGCTTACAGGTAAGAACAGCCAGCACATACTGTATTATACCATAGCACTCAATCTTTGCGTTTCCGCTTTGTAGGTGGAGACCTTTTGTAGGACAGCCCTGCTGTTTACGTTTGGGGAAGTTGCTCAATATCGGAAAACACATTTTCTTTTAGGTATGTGAGCAAAACCTAACTGTTTGCGATTTTTCTGGGTTAAAGAATCCACTCGATGGAGTATAATTAACGTCTTCAGGTCTAAGATCATGACAACATGACTGTTAGATAAAACCCAATCTCAGGTTTGGTCACAAGCTCCCCGCAGAATGGATAATCCAGTAACTTCCGCTACTTATATTCGCAACATCGGTTTTCGTTTACGTCGCAAATTGTCCGATTTTTTGGATCCTCAGGACAGGTGGAAAGAAGTTCTTGTAGATATACAGAAACCGAGCGGGGAGCCGAGGTATTCCCAGCTTCATGTCAGGTAAGATGCGGGCGAACTTTCTGACGTGCTTGCTTTTCATTGAATGAAATCACGCTGATTGTTTATTTATTGTTTACTGAATTTGTGCCGCTGTCTTTGAAGGAGATTTGAAGGTCTTGTCGCGCAGGGTCGCAGTCCCACAGTGGAGCTGCTCAATGACTGGGGGACCACCAACAGCACAGTGGGTGAACTTGTGGACATTTTGAAGAGTCACGAGTTACTGGCTGCTGCCAGTGTTCTGCTACCTGGTATGACTTTTAAAAGCCATTAAATAATAACCACACGCAACAGGTAGAATAAACCTGTTGAATCTAAACTTACCCCAGATCTTTTTCCCAGTATCGCCCTCTTTTTAAAAAAAAAAATTCTTGTAAGAAAATAAGATGTTAACCACGAGTTGTGAAATTGCAATAAGAGATGTAGCAAAAAACTTCTGCACTTTTTGGGTAGAGGATGAGTAAACATCTGTTATGTTATATTAAAGGTGTGATGCCTGGAGCATGAGGAGAAACAGTCAAACCGCACTGATACAGGATGTAAAACCCAATCATTTATTCTGATCATTTTTTGTTTTTGTCCTCACACAATTGAAGAGTCCAGTCCACTGGAGACACAAACCCAAAGCACTGCTTCAACCAGAGTGCTGGAAGAGAGAGATGTGCAGCAGCAGCCCGTCACCACTGTGCTGCAGCTTCGAATGCCACAGGAGAACACCGAACCAATACACACAGGTCTTTCACTTTTAGATTATGTATTCATTTTACGTTCATATCTTGATTGAACATGTGACACTGAACGTATGACACGTATGACATTTATTAACACAGTCATTTATGAGTCATATTCATGCGATGTTTTAAGTAGATAATGCTCATCTTTCATTATCTGCTGAAAAGTCTGGTTTCAGTGAATTAAAATGTCATATCTTTCTCAGCACCATGTGAATCTGCCACTGCAGTACTAAAGTAGTGCAGTAAATCTACTTGATTACATTAGAGCACTGTAAACTAAGCTGCTCTATAGTGGTGTAGTGTAGTCAACAAAGATGATCTTTTGATTTCGATGCCGCTTCTTCATAAAGATGTGATTTTATGTAATCGACAGCAGGTGGCAGCGTCGGGCTCTTGATCAGAGAAGTTAATGAGGCAGTTTACTGTGTCTCCCTCCTTAGGCTTCTCCAGTTTCTTATATAGTGACCTGATGAGGATCACAGGCAACTTTGATGACCGGTCCACGTCAGCTGGTGGCAGCCGAATTGGAGAGGGAGGCTTTGGGACGGTATACAAAGGTCTCCTGAATGACAAACCAGTTGCAGTGAAAAAACTCAATCCAGTAAGTGAAAATATTTTTTAACAGAACCACATGCCTCTGTGTACTGCTGTTAATTGCATCTGAGATATTGTATTATTTAGGTGGATGACATGCCCCTGGACAAGTTGCAAGATCAGTTCAACCAAGAGATCCAGACTCTGAAAGTGTAAGTTTCCCTCAGGAAGAAGGTGAAGAAGCATATTTAACATACATGTATTTACAAATGCAGGTATGATTTAATAACAGCATTTGTTCCACAGGTTGAAACACGAGAACTTGGTTGACATGGTTGGATTTTCCTGTGACGAACAGCACCTATGTTTAGTGTACGCTTTCATGGCCAATGGATCGTTATTAGACCGACTGGCTTGCTTTGTAAGCATTATTTACTCTTCTACACAAACAGTCTGCTTTTCAGTCCCCGTGCATTCATAAAGGGATTTAATTACATGCTTTTTTTTTTTTGTTTATTTAGGAAGGAAGTCCTCCACTTTCCTGGCACCACAGGTGCTTGATAGCAGAAGGGACAGCCAAAGGTTTGGAGTATCTGCACTCCAACCATCACGTCCACAGAGATGTTAAAAGGTTCATAGTGCGAAAGCTTTCATCGTTATTGGTTTAGAGATATCCTACAAAGAAGAGAGAAAATGTCCCGTTTTTGATGTCCCGTACCTTTATGGAACACTATGCAAATTACATCACATTACTGTTTTAGACAAAGAACCAAAAAAAGACTTTGGGGATGTAGAAAAAGCTTTCCCATATGGTTCTCTGCAGATCATATGACAAAATTAAACTAAATTAAAAGTAGAAAAAGGTTTCATTTACACTTGTATTTATGTCCCTGTTCAGAGGCGCATGAAAAAACTGATGCCACACCTAGATTTATTTTTATTTTTGTTTAATCTGATGACACCACTAGTAGCTAGTAGTTTAAGTTAACATGAAGATCACGAACAGGTTCATTAGTAATGCAACAGTACAGTTTGGGCACGAACGGTAGAGTTTGGTAATTTAGTGAGTTTTATAGAGGCTCATAAGCAAAATCGTGCAAGAGGTATTGATGTTTTAATTTAACTCTTGGCAAGGAAACCAGTAAAATCACATTTCCCTAAATGTAGAAATATACATGACACATGACTGGATGTTTTGTTGCTCACTCTGGTATTTCTTCCCTGTTAGTGCGAACATCCTGTTAGATGAACAGTTTGTGGCCAAAATCTCAGACTTTGGTCTGACGAGAGCATCGGCCAAGCGAACCTCGACAACCATGATGACTGAGAGGATCGTGGGTACCCGTGCGTACATGGCACCGGAGGCGCTAAGAGGAGAGATCACACCAAAATCCGATGTCTTCAGTTTTGGAGTGGTAGGCTTTCTTCAGACACACACACACACACACACACACACACACACACACACACACACACACACACACACAC